ACATAAGCTGCACTTGATTCAGATGCATTTGGGTTTTTGGCTTTTCCTGCTAATTAAATCAATGTTATTGTGTGGTTCGGAACGATTTCCACATATGGCCTGTGTTGGCATTTAAACTATACGATTGCTCTCCGCCCCCGTTCCACCCTTGCGTCATAGCAGATTTATGTAATGTAAGTATATTCTCTCATTTGGTTTCGCTTTAAATTTTCAAACTGGCTGCCCAACAAAATAAAAGCTTTTACGTCAGTTGCATAAAAGCACAAATTGTTGTTGTTGTTGAGGAAATTTAGAGAATGCTACTAAAGGAACTATTTGTAGTATAGTAATATAGTATGTGCTATCTATGTACGTTATATCTTTCTGGTTAAATCATTAATTTGTAGATATCATAGAAATATTAAATATACCAAAGATATTTATTTATTTATTTAAGACCATGATTTGCATTAAGTCCCTTAATTTTATTATTTTAATTTCGCCTGGAAAATACACTTGCGATCAGGCAAATTAATGTAACCAACATACCTTAGCTTTTTGCTTTTTTCAATTAAAGATTTTATTTTAATAACTTTCAACAAATCTCAAATCGATGTAGTTATTTAAGAATGTTTCAGTTTAATATAACTAAATTTCCCATATATGATATCTAGATATGATGTCATCACAATCAATTTTGGTTAGACAAGTTTGGGTGTCATTGACTTTTTTATTTGGTTTTTAGTAAAAATAAATTGATAAAAAAAAAAACCTTAAATTTGCATATGTCCCTGAACGATTTTTTGCTCAGTAAAATAAAAATGAAACAAGTACTCAGTTTATGTTAATTCAATGGGCGTTAAAGTTATATTCTTTATACATTGACTACACTGTAATAGGCAAACTAACTAGCATAGAATTGTCGCCCTTGTTCACCCAAATTCATAATTTACACACCTATGTACAAAGCCTATGTAAATATATATGAATCTATGTATGTAGAGGTAGTGTTGAAAGGCTTAATGAATTGCTAATGTCAGAACTGGGCGTGTTATGTATAATGCTGATTGTCCCGTTTTTTATGAGTGTTGCACATTAAATTGCTGCCGTACTGTAACCGGTTAAAGCTGACATTATTATAATCAGTATAATAGCTTTTTCTTTTGTCGAATAAAATAAATAAATAAAAAGGCATAAATAAAGGGAAGTATTGTAGCTGTATTTTTTCTAAAGAAACACCCGAAAAATCCATCTAAAAATCAGTTTATATCTTTGACTCACTATTGCCTCTAAGTTTAGTTAGTTCGAGTATGTCTTATATACAAATTAAATCATATATCCTATGGATAAAATCATATATCCTATATATATCATATGTCCTTCGGCCAACAATCCACAATCAATCAATAAGTGAGGACAAAGGGTTTTATTCTTTTAGATAAGTTCAGATAATACTTTAAAAATTAATTAATACCTATATGGAATCGCGCAGGCAATACGCAGCTCAGGCAATGATTCGCTATATTTTTAAAATCTGTGCACTAAGACAACGTGGAACTATTGTGCCTCTTCCTTATAAATGAGTTATTGTTCAATATCTAGTTCAAGCCCAATCAAATTGAAGAATGCAATGATTGATCGAACAGTTCTCTTTTTATTAGCATTAATGGTGAAGGCTCCTAGCTGAAAGAATCTGAGTCTGCTTATTGCCGGAAATTCCCAGAATGTATTCTGAAGTCTAGTCATTTTCCACGAAGTGTATACGCGCGGCAAATTCCATATTTTTAAGCCTGTACATCCAGCAATGTCCTACCAAGCAGACTGTTATTATCAGAAGAAAGTTTTTTCCTCTCACGTTCAATTCGTTACAATAGCTCACTAACTGACTGTCACTGTGAGAATCTTTCCAGTGTCTCTCAGTCTCACTCGCCTACAAACATACATAGGCACATTAACATGTTTAAGTGTGTACACACATACATATGTCTGGTACATACATACATGTCTATCAATCAAGAGACGGAGGCGTCAACTTTTACAGTTACTCATGAGCTTGACCACGCGCTTTGCAAGCTCTTATGAACAATAAGAAAAGCAGAACAGCATTTGAACAAAAGAAAGTGATTTTCTAGCCAGATACGAGACACATACACTCACAAATAGCATTGCAGGTATGAGTGTGTGTGTGTGCCATCTCCGCATGCGATAGCAAAGTGAGAGCGAATCAGACCAACAATGATAAAGTTCATGAAAATTATCACTAACACATGCATGCATTACACACATACTCTTAAGTGAATAGATGTAATTGTTTTGTTAAATATACTGCATTTGTAAGATTCATTTTAATTTATTGTATTCGCTTGCTTTTATTTGCATTTCGAAGTGTTTTGCTACACACAATTCGACAATTCGTTAATTCATCAATTGGTAAAAACGAATTGAATATATATATATATACATATATACATGTATGTGTATGTGTATGTATTTATCTGCCTGTATGTATGCATAAAAAAATCGACAACAACACAAGAAATGATTACGTCCTTAAGATTTTAATTTTATTTGATAAACCAGTAAAAACAAAAAAAAAAAAAAAACATGTAAATCAAATAGGCAGGCAAATTTAAAAGTATGTGCATATAATTAAGTTATGCAAATTTTATAAAATGGTTGTACGAAATTTAAATTTAAGAAAATAAACTAGTATTTTTTTGCCTTTAAGTATCAATCTCTTAAAATTTAAATAATTCTACTTATGAAAGGAAGCGATTTAATCTTTAAGCCATAAGTAAAGATTAAAGAAAGTGATTTTCGAAATATAGTCATTACGCTTAAATTATTTCTATTTATATTAAATTGACAGCAAATCGCTGCTTGGTTCGTGGCATATAGAACAGATTGTAGGCTTCAGTATATTTATATGTTCTCATACATACATAATTTGCCTATATACATATGTCTGCATTCATAATTGCGTTAATTAAACGCAATTCGGTTCACAATTCAAAATATATAATCAATTTAAATGGAGAACAACAATAACAAGGAAACGCCGCAATTTTTGCCAGTTCAAAGAACGTGTTCCACGACAAGGAAGGCGGGAATTTCAGTTAAAGAAAGAAAAGTTCATTCGATTTAGAGGGTGGCAAACTGAGCTTTAAGCACTTGGGAGCTTTATGCTTAGTTGGACTTTGAGGTTAGTGTCTCTTAATTACACTAATAAGGAGCTCAGCAGAGCGAACGTGAATCATATACATTTTTTGATATCTTTACAGCTAAATAAACCGTTGAATATCAAAACTCTCTGTGTGGACACAACTTGAAATAATAAAACTTTTGCAAATTTTGTTTGCGCAATGTTCAAATATTTGCACAACACACGTAAAAAATAGTTAAAATTGAAACGTGCAGAAACACGTCACTCGTTTCTGTCTTTTTCTTTTCAATCTCTATTTCTGCCTTTTGCCTTATGCGGCTAGTTTAACACGAGCTTAAACCACACACTAATACAAACGCATAAACATATAAACTCGTATGACACATACACGTGTATGCTGTGTGTGATCGTTATGCGAAGGCGTGCGAAGCAAATGGAATAATCAATATGACTTACTCATCACAAGCAATAAAAAGTGAGAAAGATCAAATACAAAACATAAAACATAAGGAAAAACAGATTTTCATACAATATGTTAATATGAGATATTATAATTTGAACCTCAACACAATCTAGAAAAGGTGATCAAATTTAAACACAATTAGTTTATATGTCGGCATATACATATTTGATATTTATTTAAATGCATTTTAGTTTCTTAGCATTGCAAGTGTAAAAAGTTCGTTGCTCCGAGCACGAAAAAGAATTAATTGCTCACCTGCTTCCACGAAATTAATAAAAAAAAAACCTTGCGTAAAATTTATAACGAAAAAGAGATAATCGACGTCAAAAGAATGTCTGCTTAAAATGCACGTTCAGTAGTGCAGTAAATAATTGTAAATATTTGCATATACATATAAGAGCGGACATTCATCAGTTGTACTCAGCATTGCACATAATTTCGAGATCTAGGTCAAAGTTGAACAATTAATGCTTAAATCACGCACAGATCTGTGAGCTTTTACGCATTGTGACTGCACATTTTCAATGTTCTTAATTTAATTTTTGCATCATTGCCATGAGCTGTTTAATTTATTCCAGTTTCATGGATATTGATACTCCTGTGCAAAAAGTACTCAAGCCCCAAAGCTTTGCTGTGCAGAGTTTCTATTTTATTTTTGGTGGTGCCCTGGTTTTTTTAAAATTCAACTGATATGTATTTACACTTTGTCGCTTCCTGTTTTGAGCAGAGACGTTGCTATCTACAAGAAGACGCGTGCAACACAATAAGCATTGCTTAATAATTACACAGAGAAACTTATCAATGGCTGGAAAACGAGTATCGCTTCAAACTGAGAATGGCCTCAAGGCGACAAGCAACGAGTAAACTCAGTGAATTGGAAAGTAAGCACCAGATGACCGACGAAAACGGACAGGGACAGACAAACAACATCTGTTGCGCCTGAAAGTGAGCAAAATGAAACCGAAATGGGAAAATAATGAAAACAAGCATTGCCAAATTGTGAAAAAAAAAACAATTTAATAAATAAACATGCAAAGTGTGTATCACAATTCTTATCTTATATATCTATTAACTTACTAAGCCACAAAACAAATAGAGGCGCAACGCATTATGCAATTGTACCCATTGTTGTACAATATTTTAACTCACATACACACACATATATTTAATTAAATATTATTTTCTTGGTGTGTGTAATATATGTATGTATATATTCAAGCGTAGCCGACCTTGATGGCATTTTTATCAAGCGAAGAAGAAGATGAGAAAAGCGCGCCTAACAAGTGGGAAAATATTTTGATTTTGTGGCTAATGGCAATTGTTAATTATTGTGAAGATGAGTTTTTTTTTGTTGGCTACTAAAAGCGCCGCTGATAACGCTAGCAGGTAACTAACCTTTAGCTGAAATTTTTATATTTTTTTTTGCCTTTGAGCGCAACGGCTTTTTTGTAGATGTGGTTGTTGATTTTGATTTGATGGCTGATGCGCTCCAAAAGTGTTGCGGGTTGACAGCAACAAGCGTCAAAGACTAGGCCCAAGACCAGGCCAGGCCAAAATGACTAATACTCGCCACACACAAACACAGAATCGTTAAGGTTTTTTTTTTTGCCGCGCTTGTTTCACTAAAACTAGCCAGAATGTGATCGTGTGTGTGTGTGCGTCTGTCACAAAAACAACAACACACAACATCGACAACAATAAAACACGAAAAACACAGCTGCAATAATTGCAGCTGCTACACAGTCGATGGCGGCACTTTCTGATCGATATTCCGCACTTTACACAAGCACTAAGAATTATTAACGTATATTACAATACAATAATTGTTAAATACTTTTGTACAATAAATTTCGTTTTATTTTTTTACAGCAAAACTGCGCCACGACTTGGCGTTATTACTATTCGTTTTCGCTCGTTTCAATAATCTGCTGACACAGAGTTGTGCCTGCTTCTTGGAGATGTGCCTGGCAACTGTCGAGCTCAAAATATCGATAGGCAAAAAGCATGCTTTCGATAGAATCAAATGTTTGCTTAAAAATATATTAAAATTTCCACAATATTCCGTTGAAATTTTGATTTTATATTTTTAGATTTAAACATCCCATTATGCTATGGTGAAAAAACACTTAGCCTTGTTATTATAACAACGCAATTTCAAAATTTCGTGTGGCTGGTCACACTGTCTCCGATTCGATCAGCTGTTTCTTGGCAGCCATAAACAAAAACAACACGATTACCACAAAATCCAAACAAAAGCAATCAAAACGGTGAAAAAGTTAATATTAGTTAATTTATTAAGGCTGGGCCTGTTGCTACGTTTATATAGTATGGCCTGGCGTTCAGTGGGCACTAGCAATGCGGATCTCATACGTCAGCTGCGAGGTAAGCGCATCCAACAAGTATTTAAATGCTTCAGTGTATTTTTATTCAGTATATTTGTGTATGTATTAAATAGATTACGGCGTAATTGCAACGGAGGCGGTGGCAGATGCAATGACGGCTACAGATCGCAAGCACTACTCGCCTCGTAACCCGTATATGGATGCACCGCAACCAATCGGCGGCAGCGTCACTATCAGCGCTCCTCATATGGTAATTATGCATTCCACAAAATATTTAAGTTTTTATTTAATATTAACTCATCTCTTGTGGACTTTCACAGCACGCCTTCGCCTTGGAATATCTACGCGATCAGCTAAAGCCCGGCGCCCATGTGCTCGATGTGGGTTCCGGCTCAGGCTATTTAACCGCCTGCTTCTATCGGTATATAAAAGCCAAGGGAGAGAATGAGAATACTCGCATCGTTGGCATTGAACATCAGGTCTCGCTGGTGCAACTGAGCAAATCCAATCTAAATGCGGATGATAGCAGCATGCTCAACTCGGGCCAAATGTTGATTGTTGAGGGCGATGGTCGGCTGGGACATGCTGCACTCGCTCCATATGATGCCATACACGTAGGCGCAGCTGCACCCGAGACACCGAACGAATTATTGAATCAACTGGCCCGAGGAGGACGCCTCATTGTGCCCGTTGGCCCGGAGGGTGGTACACAGTATATGCAGCAGGTGGGAGGCTCACAATCAAAAGCGAATATTCATATTACTATTATTAATTAATTGCAGTACGATAAGGATGCCAGTGGAAAGGTGCAGATGACCCGTCTCATGGGCGTCATGTATGTGCCCCTTACGGATTTACGTTCTTGACTGCACAAGCTGGGATTTGGGCTTGCCATGCTGCCGCTTGGTTTTGTGCTATTTCAATTATGGACATACTATCGCTAGAACTATTTCCTCCTTATCGCAATAGTGGCTTGCCCTCAATATCAAATATTTCTTGTAATGCTTCCCATATTAAATTAACTTATGGAACCGAATTAATAAATGCAGGCGTATTAAATGTTAATTAAATTAAATTGAAACATTTGCATAGATTTAGATAACAGGATATCAACTGAGATCTTTACCTAGTACTGCTATAATTAATTAAATATTTAAAATGTAAATTAAGCTATTAAATTTTTTCAAATCGTTGCCTCGCACACGGCTTATCGTCGGCAACTATCGATTGAACTGTCGACAATTTCCATATATGCGACCATCTGCGATATTTTTTTTTATAATTTTGCTCCCAAAAATTTATCGAAGCGTCATCCAAAGAACAACAGGTAGCAATATGATATGAGCATGTCAACAAATGTAGGAAAGATTCGCCTAAAAAATTTGACCGACTTACAAAGGCCAGATAATGCTGAAACAGAAGCAATTGCAATATCCATTCAAATCGATGATAGAACTCCAGAGAAACAGCCAAAGGCGCGAAAAGTGCGCGCAGCGACAACCACAAGGAAAAAGAACAATGATGAAATTAAGAAGGAAAAAGTTGCTGTTAATAGCACTGATGTAAAGCGCACAGGAAAAAAGGAGCTACTACCAGGACAATTGCGCATAGACACCTTCTTTAAGAGTAGCTCCAAATGCAACAAAGTGGAACCAGCCCCAGTTCGCTCACCAGCAAAGCCAAAGCCTCACCGGACACCACGTAAGGGATGCAAGCGTCTGTTTATCGGGGATTCAAGCACAACAAAAGCAACGATCCAGATGGCAACAACTCCTTCAGACGCTGAGCATAAGAAGATGGCCACACGCAAGCGAACCCAGCCGCAGCGAAGTGCAAGGGCGAAATGCGCAACTCCTCCCAGTGACATCATTGATCTCTGCACCGATGATGAATCGGAATTTGAAAGAAAAGAAGAATCCTGTGAGCTTCAGCCCACAACACTTGGTGTGCTGGAGTCTCGGCAGCCGGAAGCGTTACCCGTGGTCACTGTACCCCATCACAATCTGTCGATGAAAATGGAAACCGATGCGCTCGCCAAGGAAAATATACCGAAAGGCAGGAAGCGCAAGCGTTGTCCGTCTTATAAGATAGTCGAGGATACGACATTCGTTGTGGATGGCTTTCAGTTTGGCAACATTCCGAATGCGACCCATTACTTTCTCAGTCACTATCACGCAGATCACTATGTGGGCCTAACTCGCAAATTTGCCCACCCGCTCTACATGAGCCCCATCACAGCAAGGCTGGTAGAGAAGTTTATACCCATAGACAGCCAGTTTGTCCACGAAATCGATGTGGATAAGTCCGTTGTAGTCAAGGACATTGAAGTCACCGCCATAGATGCCAATCAGTAAGTAGTATAACGCATCAATCTAGCTAATCTAAATGGTTCATTGCTTAATTTAATTATTTAACTATACTACAGCTGTCCGGGTGCCATAATGCTGCTCTTTAAATTTAGTACGGGCAAATGCATACTGCATACGGGCGATTTTCGGGCAAGCTTTGAAATGGAGTCTCTGCCCATCTTTTGGAATGAGCCGAATATTGATCTACTTTACCTGGACACCACATACTTGGCGAAAAATTATGATTTTTGTCATCAGTCCGATAGCATTTATAGCGCTTGCTCTTTGGTGCAGAAATTCCACGAGAAGAACGCCAGCAAGCGGATATTGCATGTGTGTGGCTCCTATTTGATTGGAAAGGAGAAGGTGTGGCTGGCTCTGGCCGAGGAGTTTGGCCTGCGCGTCTGGACGGAACCTCATCGCAGAAAGGCCATTGACTGCCTCAATTGGCCGGAACTGCAGCTGGTGCTGAGTGATGATCCGTTTGACGCGAATTTGCATGTCATCGGCATGGGAAAGATTAGTTATCCGGTAAACAAATTTCGTAGTTACGATGAATAAATCTCATTTAAATTTTAATATTCCTTCCCGCAGCAACTTGACCAGTACTTTAAGCAATTTGAGAGCCAATTTGATATGTTGCTGGGCATTCGTCCCAGTGGCTGGGAGAAGAACTCAAAGCCGTCTTATGGCAAACGGATCAGTGTGATCGGAGTGGAATACTCTGAACATTCCAGCTACAAGGAGCTCGAGCGTTTCGTACGTTTCCTCAAACCAACGAATGTGATCAGCACAGTTCCTGTGCAACCACGTGATCTCTGTGTGACCGCCACGGTGCCGACAAAGTGGTATAAATATAATGGCCATGGTGGCATGATCAGCACGAGCTATCAGCCGTCGATTTCAACGTTTCTGGAGAAGACGCAGCGCAAGATTCCGACAAGCTTTACTATGACATTAAGTCCAATAAAGGACGACAACATATCATCGTCTACTGACGGAGGTTAAGCACACGAGGCAGTTGTTTCAACGAAAAGAGCCCAACCAAAGGTTGCACTTGTTGCAGAGCAATCCGTCAGCAGACTTACATTTGATGCCTCAGATGATTTTCTCTCTTTCATATAGTTTTTTGTAACGCTAATAGGATTATTCGTGTTTTTATTATTATTGTGTAAATAGTGAGTTTATTGCAATCAATCGTTTCTCAAATCCAAATAGAAAAAATATATTATTGGATTCATTTAAGCAGACATTAAATTAAGAAATATATAATTATGCTTTGGCCAAATTTAAAGTAATTTTCCATTTTAATATACTTTACGCTTTTAAAAACTATTTGCATGTACAGCACAAATCGAGTTTACATTATTTTTTTTCCGCTCAATTAATAAACAGGGCTGTTTGAGAATCTTATCTGAAATCATTGATATTGTACATTGATATGTATTTATTTCTGATATGATATTTCTAATAAAGTTGTTAAATTGTTCAAATACAATTTAAGTTGTATGTCTTTATACATGCTCTGTATTTTTTAAGCCTTGCAGAGGGTATTGCTCAAATTTGCAACGTGTGAAGGAGATTTAGCCGTCCCGTTAAACTGTATATTTTCTTGATCATCATCCCTAGCGAAGTCAATATACCGTCGGTCTATTTCTGTACAAACAAGTCCACATGCTTTAAGGAAATTTGAATGAAACTTGGAAATATACATACAGTGACTTACAGTTCAAATAGAACAGCACCTAGCAAAAAATTTAAAGTGCTATAAGGTTTAACCAAAAAAACAAACGCAAAATGTTTAAACGCCAATTTGTTTTATGTCATATCACGTTTGAAAAGGGAACTTCAGTTTTTATTAAAATATGAATTAATTAACTAAATTTAGTCGAAACTTAAAACATATCCAAAATACATGTTACAGTTTTTTTGGAACAGTCTTGGAATAATAACATATTAGGTGTATAAAAACTTAAATAAGGTTATTAAAACTTAGTATGATATCCCTTAGCCTTAATAACTTCCCTTGACCTATTATTCATAGAAGATACCAGCTTCCGGGTAGTTTCTGGACTGATTTTGCTCCAGTCATCCAGCAGAGCATTTTTGAGATCGGATCTGTGATTCCGGATGTTATTTTCTAGCAGAGCCCACAAATTTTAAATAACATTTAAGTCTGGAGACTGGGCCTGTGGAATTATCATGTGGGGGCAGTTCCAGAAATGCCAGGACTGTACTAATCCGGACATATGCTTGGCTGTTGTCCTGGTCGTTGTCGTGGTAGAACCGGAAAGTACGTCGGATTCCTAGCTTCTTGGCAGTTTGGAGTAAATTTTCCTTTAATATATTGATACACACTCTTGTCCATTGTTGTTTCAAAAAACACCAAATTTCCGACGCCGGCTTCCGAGAAAGATGCCCATACTATGACACTTCCTCCGTCGTGCTTGACTGTTGCCTTTAGGATTTTGGGACTCAGCTCAGTATTGGACTGTCGCCACACATAATTCCATCCGTCTGAACCAAAAATGTTGAATTTGGACTCATCTTCAAATATGAATGTGTTCCAGAACTCCAAATTCTTGTCCAAGTGGGTTTTGACGAATGCCATCCTAGTCCCTTTATTTTTTGCGCTTATAAAGGGCTTATTCCGTGGTACTCGGGCATTAAAGTCATGGTTGCGCAGAACCCGGCGCACAGTTTCCATACTGCACTTTTGCCCCATTTCATCCTGCACCTGTTGAGTCAGTTTTGGAGCCGATAGCTTGTGATTTTCCCTTATATTCCTGATGATCCTCCGCTCCTCCTGTTCGGTGAAAGTCTTGTTTGGTGCATTTCTGCCCCTGTCCTCTATCCGATTTTCGTCGACGAAGCGCCGAATGATGTTGAACACAGTTGTGGTGCCTAGATTTACCATTTTAGCTATTTAACGATGCGAATATCCAATCTTGAAGTGTTCCAGGATGAGATTCCGTTGCTCAATGGTAGTCCGTTTGTCCATAGTCCTTGTTGGCTGGTGGCACCCGAGATGCAAGATATAACTAAACTGATTACAAAGGATAGGTATATTTATACCGAAAATAATCAACCTGACGAAAAAAATCCGGGTTTTATGGCACCCGCTGTTCCATTTGAACTGTAAGACACTGTATATGTAAATATGTACTGACTATTTGTCGAGGCCATGGGACTTTCTATTTACAAATATATATTAACTAAGACCACTAAATATTCGTGTTATTATGCTTCTCACATTCAGACAAGACAAAACATTAACACCAGGCTCATATATCAGATAACTCTCATAGGAACAACCGTTCGGTTTTATTTTTTATTGAAAGGTAGATTTCGATAGGTTACCAACCTGGAAAGTAGATTACTAGAAAAACTGATAAGAAAATTTTTTGGTCACGACCAGCCCCCAAATATCCCGAATGATTTTATTGATAGAGTTACCAAAATTGGAAGACATATTCCTAGCAACCTCTTTCCAAAATTGTTAGAAAAATCCTTCCCATATCCCAGATTATTCAATGGTCGAGGTACAACCAGCGAAAGATTATGTCACATTCATTCCACAAACGATATACTATTTTATAGAATAGAATGCAATATATTTGGTTATATATGATTTTTGTATGCATATTCAATTTAATATATATTTATATAGATTTTTTTTATTCCAATTCTATTATATATTTTATTTAATATTTTCCACTGACATAGTAACACTTGCTTATATCGCTTATGCTTAATGTAGATTTCTCAGGGATTAATGAATTTTAAATGTGTGTTAACTAATAAATATTTGTTTATGATATTCACAATGCAGGGGGCTAAATTTCAAACAATTTTAATCCGTCCCTGGCCTAGGCAATACGAATGAGGCTTTGATTTGAAGCTGTTTTTAAACAATTCTCACTGATATGTTTAGGTATAAATAAGTGATTAATGTAAACAATGACTAATGAACTCGCTCGATCAGCAAATTTTTGGAATGAACACTGTATCGATTTATGCTAATTAATTTTCATCTATTTAAACAATTGACAATAGAAACAGTTGGCGAAATACATTTTGTATATATATTATAAAACCTGTATATATGGTATAAAACCTGCATAATTATTAGCATGCATGTGCATGACGTATGCAAATCAATAGCAATTGATTTTAACCATTTTTCGCAAAAACTAACAAATTTAACAAAATCCAAATTATAGGGAACTACAACTAAGAACTTTTCGAGGATATAATATATAACAACAAAGCGCATATTTAGGCAATGACTTGGGACCAGATCAATACACTTGGTGGGTAATACATAAGTTTTGAATGGCGCAGCCAGTTAACTGAAAAAAAAAGAATAGTTTTAAATATATATATGCTATGGGGGAAGGGGACTGCTGAAAACCTACCACCAGGAGAAGAATGGGCTCTTGTTCTGGAAGCGCTGGGTGAAGGAGAAAAAGCGACTGCCACTGGAGCTGAATGGATATAGGGAGAGAGAGCAACATATGCATTAAATATTAAGGGGTAAAATGTTGGCTAACGAATCATTTGCTTACCGCTCAACAACAACGGCTGGCATTTGAACCAACTGTACCGGCGATTTGCCATCTCGCAGCGCTTGCGTCAGATTCAGTATCTGGCCGCGCATTACGGACATCTGCCGCTCGAAGAGCCGCTTATCGAAGCCGCGGTCTTGCTGGAATAGATACAGCAGTTCCGTACAGATCTCTTCCACAAAGTTCATATCGGACAGCTGAGGGAGCACCTGATCCTTGATGTCATCGCTGAACGGCACCTTGGCTTGAGGCAGCCAGGCCCAGTGATAAGGATATGCTCGCCACGAATCGGGATGCTTAAACGGAAATGCCAAACCATTGTCAATAGCGGCAATTCGAATCTGTGGCGACTCCACCAAATTCCATGTGGGATCTGTCTGCTGCTGCCTGAGACTAGTACCAGCTGTCGGCTCATCATCGCTACTTGCATAGCCATTGACAGTACTGAAGTTCGGATCACCAATACCCATCGAAGTGGGCGCAGGTTGGCCACCGCCAGTGCCGCGCTTCAGCTCATTGCCCAGCGATAGTGGTTGGGATTCGTTGAGGTCTATGATTGACTGGCCCGACACCAGTTTAGCGGCATGTGCCATGCTCTTGCCACCAGTGCCGCCCACCTCGCTTACTAGTTTCGGCGCCACGAACTTTATCAACCAGTTGTCATTGCCACGATCCGTATTGCGGATAATGTAGTCCAGCACAACTAAACGCTCGAACTGCAGCTGAAAAGATTTGGTCAGCGCCGGTGACAAATGCTCGTTCTCAAAGCGACGCAACCAAAAGTCGGCATCCTTGTAGCCCTCCACAAATAGTTGAAACGAGCCAGTCTGCAAATCGAAACATAACGTGACTCACTTATTTTCATAACAGCTATTATTCGTTGTCTCACCTTCAGTGGCAAACTCATGCGATTGAAGTGAGCCGACGGATAATGCTCCTTGATGCGTTTTTTGAGCTTGGCCTTCTGGCGGTCGATGCGCGCATAGTTAAAACTCTCAGCCACCAATCTAACCACACGTGTCTTGGGCACCACATTTAAATTTAGCTTGCGATCAACCAAACTGGCCCCAGCCTCCGATAGATAGCTATCAATTTGATCAATTTTAATTATGAAATATATGGCAGTCAGTGGAATTACCCTTGATTAGGTATCAGACAGGCGCGTCCAAAGCAACAGGGGCAACACAGCTTGTGCATCCATTTGGTCCATTTGGGATTCAGTCTGCCATAGGGCTCCTCATCTTTGGGCTTAAAAACGGCCAGGCAACGGTGCTATCAAATGCAATATATAAGCGTTTAAAATGTTGGAAAGATTGTGAGTTAACTTTCATTATTTATTGTAATTATTTGTTTTGTATCAGAGCCAAACCAAAAGTTTTGCAAAAAACAACTTGATGGCAAAACTTCCCCGTTTGTTAGAATCGTTAATCTGTGCGCTATTTATGACGAACTAATCACAAGGCTTAAACTAGACAGCTTGGATTATGCGAAGCGCAAATTGTAATTGTTATTAAAATAATTAACTTACATTTGTGGCATCTTTGACGAAATAGGAACCACTGCTGCCCTGATAGATGCGCTCGGGCAGAATACCTTGTCCGATGGCATATTCGGCCTGCGCCACAATCTCCGAAAAGAACGGATCATCTGTAATAAAAATTACAATTTGATTACTTTTTGTATTTTAAGGTACTTTTTTCTTTGAGTTACTAATCAAATTTGTGCGCAAAAAGAAAACAGGCATGCCTTCAACAGCGCCTAAAATCAGACTGTTTTTAAAGAGCTGCAATTTAAAAAGACACTTCTTATGTATTAAATAATTAATAAACTACTAAACTATGCTGTTGATGAGCTTCCGACCTGGCGTGAGAAGTATATATTTATATTTAAAAAGCTATTATACGTACATAGCACAAATTAAATGTGTCAGAGTGGAGCTCATATTGATTAGCAGTTATTTTCTACACGAGTGAAGCCGTGAAATCAATAGAAAATAAAGCCTTAATTAATGGGTACATTAGGGGTAGCACCTATAAAGTCGAAATTGTCGTTGAAATCACCGTGCTCCTTGTAAATGGTGAAAACGTGATGTATAAATTGCTCGCGGCTGTAGCTCAATGAACGTGACGTTGTAATAAAATGTGTATGCCTTTGATATCTAGTCAGAGTCGTTGGTTCGCTTTAATTTGGTTGTCACATTTGTTGCAATTTGCATATTTAATGCGACCCACATTTTGAAACTTACACATGTTCTTCAGGGGGCAATTGGCGCATTGGCATTTGGGCAGGGCAATTTTTAAATCTGACTCATCGGAGTCGCCCATCACCGAGGGGGCGTAGTAGCGGACGCAGGTTTTCTCCTCATCCGACTGCGAGGACATATAGTCCTTCTCGGCGGCATCGCATTTTTCTTTACAGCAGTGACACACGTACGGCTCGTAAAAAGAGTGAATTGAGTTGCTTTCACTAATGGGAGTGACAACATCGACATCGACATTGGCATCGACATTGGCATCGACATCATCGACCGGTGTTTTTGTCTTTTCGTCTATGATGGATTCTATTGGATCTGACGATGATTGCTGTGTCGTCATCGCTATGCATTTTTTTGGGTGCTTCGCTCTTAATATTCTCTATGTCTAGTTGGCGCCAGTTGTTGCGACAACCACGACCATTTTTCCAATACTTGGATATTTGATTTGAATCGGGAATCGTCACAAAAAAATGAAATCCTGAAGTTATATTTAAACATTGAACAACAAACAATTTACGAACTAATCGAAAAGCAAGTACATTTATTGTGAAGGGTATCTCAACGGCGATCATCTTAGTTGTTCGCTTTTGACCTTAATGCATTATTGCATATTTAGTTTGTGACGCATTGGAAAATTTACTTTTTTTTTATCACTTAAGTATGTTTATAAATAAAAATGCACATTCATGATCAAACCAGCAAAAAGATTTGCTAAGTTTAGCCATTTCTACTTTGTATACGCTTACAGTGGGTATTACTAAACTCTTGTAAAGTGTATAAGGAGGCGTGGATCGAATTAATATCTTGCAATTATCACAGAATTTGTGAGTTCTTAGATTAGTTTTTGCGTGAAACACCTTTTTGTGTTCTATACCAAGACAACATTATTAATATCAGACCACTATTTAATATAGCTTTCTTTGGTAACTAATGCTTGACTTTTAGTTAAGCTTTAAAGCTTGGAACATATCCTTCACTGCAGTCAATGCTTATGTCGGTCGGATCGCATCACTATATTATATATATATATATAATCTTCATTATGTCTACTAAAGCCGTTTATTCCTGTTCAGTTAGTATTATTCTTAGATTAATATGTAGCTGACATTTGCAACCATTTCCTTTAAGGTTAACTGCACCTTGTTTTACATTTTTCCTTACTATTTAATAAGATTTTTGTAAAGACTATGGCACATTCATACCATGCAGAGGAACAGATTCGCATACATGATGGTTGCAAGTTGTATTCATACACAACTTATTTAAATTTGCGCACTTAGCTCATATTTCTGCCGTTTTACAAATTGCGTAGTATGTGTGCCCACAAAATAATATACATTATCAAAAGTCTTTGTGTACGCTTGCCAATAATAAATGTACACATGATGTATGGACATTGACATTTCCATAAAAACGTTCGCGATGAATTTTATGTATACAAATCGATCCAATAAGGAGTTAAATTACATTTACAATAAGTAAGTTGGGTTAGACAGTTGTTGACCAACAAAACCGACTTACTCAGGCCAGAATTACCTGACACTGAGTGGGACAAGTTTAGAGGGGGATGATCAAAGGGATGAATTAATAAATTTGGCAATTTTCTATGGTCCTACGTTGGATAATATATATACAAAGGAGCTTCCTCTTAATAGCAAGCGCAACGCAGAAGCGCACCAATAAATAAGGTTTTCAAATATAATTTTTAAAGGATATCACAAAGTCGTACATACGTATGTAAAGAACACTCCATATCTACAACTATTCGCACATTTTAATTCAGCATCAAATGCCGAGCTAACCAAGACCCGAGCTAGTTTAAGTAGTATATTATAATGTTTGGATAAGTAAAAATGTGAAAATGTATATATATAAAACTCTTTGCATAGCTGGATTATAATAAAATACTATATACAAAATCAAATTTAAATGAGTTAAATACCAGTACAGTAAATGTATCTATGGGAATATTCGGATTGAGTTCAATTTTGAATCGACATAATAACTATGCGACTCATTCTATCTCTGACTAAATTTATACAGCAAATGCATTTGCATGGCTGCATTTTGTTGTATTTGTTGATGATAAGAAGGAGAAGTGGAAACGCCAATGGGCAAGATCAAATGTCTTTTAGAGCAAACAACAGAAATAAAGTCAAGTCTACGCACACACAACAGACACATACAACTGTGCTGGAAGCCCTACAAGACTTGTAAGACTTCGCAAGCAAGTAGCAAGCACAACTCACCGCCAAATGTGTTTGACATAAGGTCAACGTGATCGTGTCCACGTCCTAGGCCACCAAGGAGATCGCTGATGCGACTAGTATGACTGCTGCCGCCGCCACCAAGGAGCGGTTGCGACTCTCGATTGTCGCTGCCCGCGTCCGTGGACATGCCCTCGAAATCGATTTCGGGCACAAGACAAATATCGTTGGCCTCCTCGAGGTGTGTTGCAATCGTTGATTTCAGCGGCGATACTGTCGTTGTCGTTGTTGTTGGACGTCGCGTTGGTGTTGCAAGGCGACTAATAGCAAGCGCTGGTTGCGGTGTCGCTTCACTCGATCTGCTCTCACTGCTTGCTTCTGAATGATTGCCATTTACATTAGCATTGCTGCCGTTGCGCAGGTTGTTGTGCAGTAAAACTTCTTCGTCGTCGTCGCTATCGTCATCGGCATCGACATCGTGGTCATGGTCGTGAAGCAGCAGCAATTGCTTCTTTTGCGGTTGCTTCTTGACAGCAGCAAATACATTCACGTTTTCAGCATCATCACCGCCAGCACCATCGGCTTGTGCCACATCAGCAGCAACGATAGACGCGCTGCCAGAATTATCAACAACAGCAGCAGCAGCATCATCATCATCATCGTCGTCCACTGATAATAGAATTTGTTCACGATCTCTCTTTGCCTTGCGCTTTGGTCTCCGCTTGCCGCCTGCTGCTGCTTTGCTGCCATGTACTCCAAGCGTATTTATCTGTGCAAATACAAAAAAAAAAGTTTAATTTGGTTTATTTTGATGGGGCTTAACACCAACGCACCTCAACTTGCGTTGTCAACTGACTAATTCCGCTTGCCTCGTAGCCATTTAGGAGTGCCGTCGTCAGCTGATTGCTGTTGTCGCTCCTCGCTGTTGTTGTTGTTGCTGCTGCTGGCTGTTTTACAAAATCACCAATTAAATCAACATCATCTTCCAGTTGCAGCAGGGGCTCTCCATTGGCCGGAGCGTTATTCATGTCTGGGTATTTTTTTTCTGTTTGGGCCACGTACGGAATATTGCAATACGAGAATGTCGCGCGTTGTTGTTATTGCTTGCATGCAACAAAGGCTAGCGCTGTTTTCGCTGCCTGTAGTGAGTTTTTTGAGCGAACGTGAACAGAAAGAACACTGTTATCTGCCACTCTTATTCATAATTTGCATGTTCTATAATTTAATTGGCAAATGTTGATTATTCTCCGCATTTGCTTCGCACCAATTATTGATTGCTCACTCTAAATATTATATATATATATATATATATATATATATATATATGCGCGTTTATATATATATCGATTCCTTGGACAGATACGAAAATGATGAGCAACGAGACTGTCCACTTAGAAGATTGGCAAAACAGCTGGTGCGACTGTCCACTTGCGCATTACTATTATCATGTTCTAAATAAATTGTATTATCGATGATTTGATATACATATCGATTAAACATATCGCATTAAGCAGCACAACAAAAATCACAAAAAATCCAGTAAATTTACATTTATTTGATTCTCTTAACAGTTCTCAACTTTATTCTTATTTATACACATGCAATATGCTCGAATACATTCAAAGGTTTATTGTAGCGCAACAGATCTTCGCAGTCTGTCGATGCCACTTAATACTGCACTAAGCTCCCGTTGCACGTTCGTACTTTCTGCAACAATTTCAATGCATTTCTTGAACTTGTCCATGGCATTCCGTAAGCTCAACGGTGGCAAAACGCTAAACCAGTGCAAAGGTTCCATGTAGCCTTTCTCCTTGTCCACCGCATGTCGCTCCACAGAGATCTCTGCCCATTTCTTCTCTGCGACACTTACAACCCGACAGAGGGCGTTAAATTCTGCGCTGTTTTCCGTTGGTATTTGTGCCGTGGATATCGCTTGGCCCCCTTGCTGGAATTTGGTGCGGGCGAGGAGAATGGCGCCACTGGAATTGGTACGCTCGATGTCGATGCGAGATTGGGTGTGCGCCTCAATAAGATGAAACATGTCCAAGTACAGGGAGTCAAGCAACTGACCAGCAGCAATTCTATCTGTTTCAGTTGACATTTTTCACTTGTATATCGCTGTTATTCAACTAATTTCGCTCTTTTTGTGAAAAAAAAGCAGTAACAATCATATGATCGGAAACAAACCTGCACTCATGCAACTCTTAAATGGTTGGCAATGCGCACGTCTGATAATGTACCTGGACAGTGTTAAGTATATTAAGCAGTGTTGCAAATATTCCAAAGTAGGGATGAAAAGATTGTTCGCTAAAAGTTCATATAAATGTGCTTAAATATATATAGTAAGTAAATTGACTTGTTACTATTTTAGATTACATTTAATGATAGTGGGAGATAGTATGTAATGTATAAACGTTGTAAAATGGTATACATGGCAAAAAATTAAATAACAAAATAAAATCGTCTCCAAAAATATGTAGTAAATTCATGGCAACTATAACTTGCTGCCGAACTACAAGGCGCATCACTACTGTTAACTTATGTTTACAGAGGCTAGTCTGTTGTACTCTGCTGCTGAAATTTTCTAAATTTCTAAATGTTTATACAAAAAATAATATATCTATTATAATTGGATGGAATAAGTGATATATTTATTTAATGCTGATCAAAGAATTTTGTTATGTGTACTTGTTAAAGTAACTTGCTAGGGTATTCGAATTTCGGTGCTGGATGCTGCCAGAAATGTGGATTAGAGAAAGTTTATAAAAACCCGGTGTAATTAGCAAGTAGCAGTTAGTTTAAAAAAAACAATACAAAGAGTGCCAGTTAAGTTAAACTAATCAAAAACTAACATTGTAGTGCGGAATCCAATTGAAAAGCAGAAACAAGGCTGTTGATTTTGATGTTCATTTTGCTGTAACGGTGCAAACAGTTCCAAAGTTGAAGTGTTATTTGAAGAGAATTTGGTAATAATGATAAATAGCCATATTGACGATTTGGATTTGCGTTCTCAAAAGTGCGGACATCGGCAGAACAACAATAACAACCACAACAACATCAATAAACAAGCAAACGACAATGATGACGATGACGACACTTCATCAACATGTTCGGATGAGGCACAGGTGCTGGAAATTATTGAAATTTGCTGTTGAGTTTTGCTTTGGTTTACAAATGTGTAAATATATGTATCCGATATGTATATATGTGTAGTTTGGGGACTTAAGTTTCCCTTGTGCCTGTTTATCTTATCGCAGCAATTGTTGTACAGACAAACGTGCCTATAGCTTCCCAGTTCAGCATTATGAATTGATTTTCCCTATAGGCAAGTTTGATTGTACGATTTACTAAACAGATAAAAATAAAGTATATAAGCGCATAATGACTTGACTAACTATTATCGCTTATTAATTATTTAGAAGACAAGGAAACGTAACACAGAATACCAAAGTCAACCAAAATCAGTTAAGAACTTTCACTCACTGAGCGAAATGTCAACGCCAGCCAAGTCAAAGACGACAACGCATAGCAGTAGTCTTGCGCAAAATTTGGACAGCGGCAAGGAGAACGAGAGATACAACGCTGATATGTGGCGCAATGAGTTGCAGCAAAGCGAGCAACTTGTGGCTGATGTGAAGCCGGATCAGAACCATAGGAATAGCATTAGCAAGTACAGTGATATAATCGATATTGGTATACGTATTGCAATTGTGCTGGGATTCATGTGAGTGTTGAATAATGCCATTAGAAATCCATCATGCTGACTACTCAATTTTTAGTAAACTAGAGACGATGTCACCATTCAAGCGGGAAATACACCCCGAAGAGCTTTGGCTGTATAAGAATCCACGCCGACCGGACATCGTTAGGGGCGATGAGCTGTTATTGTCCGTAATTGGCGTGCCTTTGTTTCTGACAATCATATTCTATGTGATGACTAAGGATCGGCGGGATTTTCGCGCCGCTAGCTGGGCGTGGACAATGGCGGTGTGTATGAATAGCATACCAACGAGCTTGTTAAAGATCACTGTTGGACGACCACGCCCGGATTTCTTTTATCGCTGCTTTCCCGACGGCATTATGGTGCTAAATGAAACCGCCAGTGCCTTGGGCAGCGTTTTCATCGAATTTAATTGCACGGGCAAACTGAGTGACATCAACGAGGGACGCAAGAGCTTCCCCAGCGGCCACTCTTCATGTATGCAGACCACAAATGCTCGTTGATCTTTATCTAATCTCTTATGTAATCTATTTTTCCAGTTGCTTTTGCCAGCTTTGGCTTTGTCAGCTTCTATGTGGGCGCTAAACTGCACGCATTCGATACCCGTGGACGGGGGCACACTTGGCGGCTGTGCATTGCTGTCATGCCGCTTATTGTGGCCGCCTTGGTGGCAATCAGTCGCACCTGTGACTATCACCATCATTGGCAGGATGTGGTTGTGGGTGCGCTAATTGGCCTCGTCAGCGGATACTTTAGCTACAGGCAATATTATCCCTCAATATTCTCGCCAGATGCTGGAACTCCGTTCGTTCGCTGGTGGAAATACAGTCGCCTAGAGGCGAAATCTATGGATGAAGCTGGAGATGATTTGACTAGACCGCTGCTGGGCAAACAGCCGTCTAGCAAATGGCACTAGAATTAACTGTAGAAGAAGCTATCATCCACGAAAGTCGGCAATTGGGAATGTCGCTTCCATAACAAATGTAGCGATTTGCGACAAAAAACCATTGTATTCCTAAAGGTAAATCATACCAATTATTGTGGGCTTTAATGTGCAGCTGTTCTGCATATATATATATATATATATAGAATTGTTAGGGTAGTAGGTGGACAATATCACCCAGGTATTCTAGTTCAATTTGTTAAAGTTATGTTACTTAGTAGTCGAGAAATCCAGATAATGTGGCACAATAGCCAGCTAACTAAACAGTCAATAATTCAATTAAACAATGTGTGTGGGAACAAAGATGTGTATCAAATATCAAACCAGACGCTTGAATAAATACAAAGTTGATTATAGTTTATGAATGCCTTCATTTTCTTAAAAAGAAAACACAATTCAATACTTTTAAAATTAAATTAAAATGCTTTTAAAATAAAAAGAAAAACGAAAATCACTATTATAATCTCTGGGCAGAAGGTTGAATTTGAGCTTGCAATTATCGAGCGACTAATTTAAGTTGTAAGTTGTTTTATAGTAGTCGTAAATAAATATAATCAGAGTTTTTCCTTTTGCTAAAATGTGAATTTGAACGTATCGTTTTAATATAGATGCTTATTCATTCCCGCATTCTAAACACAAAATTTGCTACATCGAAATACGATCAAAACTAGCCTAAAACTCTCGAGTCACGTTTTTTTTTTTAGCTTTATCTTCAACTCATCGAGTTGAAGGCCTGCAGCAGCACCTGCTTCTCGCGCTCCTTTTTTTTTACTACATCGAGGCTGCGCTGCCGCCAGGTGCTCTTACGCAGCTTGATCGGCCGACTGCCCACATAACGTCCATCCATTTCCTTCATGGCACGTATGAAGTCGGCCGGTTCGCGAAAGCTAACAAAACCGAATCCTTTGCTTTTGCCGGTGCGCTTGTCGCGTATGACACGTGCCCGTTGAAACGAGGGGAACTTGTTGAAGGTGCGCGTGAGCACCTCATCGTTGACATCGTTGCCAAGATCACCGCAAAAGATGCGAAAATCATCATCCGGCCAGTCCGCCAGCGATGCATCCTCCCAAACAGTGCCGCCCGCAATTCTCACCGTCTTCCGGTCCTTTTTCTTGCGCTCCGTTGTTTGAAATGATTGCAGTGCCGATGAGGCACGGGCCGCTTTGATTGCCTCCTCAGCAATTGGATTGGGTCCTGATTTTTCCGCTTTGAGTTTCTTGAGCTTTTGCGTTACATCAAATTGTATGGAATTGATGTTGATATCGATTGCCGGCGCCGTTGCCACGGTGGGCACATGAACCGATGTACGGCACTGATACAGCTTTGGGGCACTGCTCAGCACTACTGGCGTCGCCGACATCGATTTCGCCGTGGATGGGTTGCTGCCAGTCGGCACAAATGTGGACATAAATGTGGGCTGTGGTGGTATCGGTGGCGGTGGCACCGTCATCCGTGGCTGATGCTGCTGCAACTTCTGTTGCACATTGGTATACGTATTTGCCGCAATGATCGGACGCACTTGATTCGGCACAAAAAGGTTTCGCGATGGCGGCTTGGAGATCTCCGCCTCAAATCGAGAGAGCTCGTCTTCGATATTGCGACGTTTTGTGCCCATTTCAAAGGCGTAACGTTATTTTCGTTTGCCTTACAAAATCTTCCTTAATGAAAACGCTTCAGAAAACAGATGCTTTTAGGCGACCATTAGAGATGTCACCCATAGTTTCGATAGTTTTGTATACATATTTAGATTTATTGTAATATCGATATTTGTCAAATTTTGTTGCGGCGGGGATCGGGATATCGATAGCTGGAGCTGCTAACAGTCAAACAGGTGGTAACCCACGAGTTTGAAATTAAAGAGAGTAGAGGGAGAGGCACCTTTTAGAAAGAGAGTGAGTTCGCGCGCTTAAGAAATGGAGATGGTAGAAAATTATCCGAGCGGGGAAAAAGAAGGAAAAAGGCCAATGATCGGATTTTTTGAAGGGCAGTAGAAAGTCAGCGACAAGCGAAAGGGCGAAGGAGAGCGAAGTGCGGTGGGGAGTTTTTTTTTTGTTAGTAAAAGTGAACTAAATAGAATATCGAAACTAAATTTAAATAAAACCCGTAATAACAATAAAAGCCAAATTCCGCTAAGTCAACAGGAAAGAAAAGACGACTCCAAATCACCAAAATAAAACCAACCGGCAGCATTAAGTTCAAATATTAACGAAAAAACGCCGAAATATTCACCCGCAAAGCAGCACCGGCGACAAGTAATAAACAAAACCGCCGACGAAGACACCAAAAAGTGAAATATTATTAAACGTAGCCCGACCAAACTAAATCACCACCGGAAAAAGCTACACGAGAATCAGAAGTCCGCCATCCGGAACCATACCCCCAACAACGACAAGGAAAAGCGAGACGAGAGGAGGGAAGGATAGCAACGATACAACAGAATAGTGAGTCCGTTCCAACAACATTACGGCGGGGGAAATTTATATCTATCAGCAGTGCGCAGGCCTAACACTCATCTTGCACAGCTGATCAGTTTTGTATCAGTGATGCGCATCCGTCGACAGCGATGCGTAACTTTTTTTTTGGCCAAATTTGCAGATTATAGTTTATGTATTTATATATTTTTGTAAATTATTTATTTATTATATTTTTTGTACTTATAAATTTTGTTAGATTAACGATAATGTCATCTTATTATATATTATTGTTATATTTTTTGTACTTATAAGTTTTGTTAGATTAACGATAATGTCATCTTATTATACATATATTATTTTGTGCTAGGTAAATTACTCATTCCTGTTTTAAACTCGTCACCGAGATATCTTTATGTTGGGTTTCTACGTGCAGAGCGTTAGCTATTTATTTAGAGCAGTGATATTATTTCTTTTGACAGAAATTTTTTTGTGAGTAGATACCTTCACACTCACCCTCACACTTTAGGGTGTCACCATTGATTTAATAACTCACCTTGGGTTGGATAAATTAAATTTTAAAAAACTTTAATTTTGTGTATTTCACATAACCGAAAGAGTTTAAGCCCAAAAGAAAGACTGCGCAAGTAAAGCAATTGTGAAGGCGTAGAAGATCGAATAAAGTTTTGTCGGGTCTCGTTAGTTTCAATTGAATTTATTGTAATAACTATATATATAAATATAAGTAACGTAATTTAAAATGACTGCTTAAGTTTTGAAAACGCAGGGGGGGGGGGGGGGCAAAAAGGTTTCTGGATAAAATGTGTTTTCACGTATAAATAGGGTGGGGCAGTAAATATATAATTTCGCCCCACAGGAAGGGCGTTTAGTGTTGTGTTATTGTACGGTCGTCGGGCTTGGGTAGACCCACTCCAAATGGAGTACTGACTGGCCGGAGCTGCCCCGTTCAGACCGATTCGTAACAAAGCAAAAAGGTTTTTTTTTATGTAGGCTTTCGCTTACCTCAAATCGGAAAAAAATGTTGTGCTTAAAAAAATAAGAACACGAGACGACGAAGTCTTGCTAGAAGTTGTCTGCCACTTTTGATCATTCTAGAGTCGCGGCTTGTTAGGAGCCTGAGGCACACTACAATTGTGCGATTTGGGGGTGATCGGAGGGGCAGTCGAACAATTCATTAGGGACTAGAGTAGAGATTTGGAGGCTTACGCGGCTCGTTTATGTCATTATAAAGTCTGTGGATTCATTACCGCTTTTAAGTAGCATGTGACTCACCCACATGTTTTCTTAGATAGTAATACTACGGTGATATGAACGAAACTGTGACAAAAATATGAGATTTTTTTTGTAGGATAATGTTGGTGTCCGAGGTAATATATTAAATTAGTATTTTTGTATTTTATTTTGTTGTCGAAAATCGTCTGTTTTCTGGCTCGTAGCTGTCTACAGGTGTGAATAATCGCGATTGCCGGTCATCCTCAAAAGGGATGACCTGAGCAATCGTCAATTCAACCCAGGAGTCGGCATTTCCTTCGGATGTAGCGTAGATATGTCAGATCACATTCCAGCACTATTGGGGTTTCCCTCCCCCCTCATTGTATTGAAAATAAATCGTTTGGAAGATTTTTGGTTTGATTGATTTATTTGTATATATAATTTGTTTGTTGTTTTTTTTTTAGAGTTTTGGTTAGGTTCAGACAATTGTATTTATTATTTAATCACTTATGATTAATTTATTTATTATTATTGTTAATAATATTATAACAATTTATAAAATTAATAATGACAACGGGAGGCGATCATGGTCATCAAACACGTTCACGAGGGCCGCGGAAAGACGGAAGCTTTTGGTCAGAAGAGTCAGCAGAAAGGTCAGCTGTTAATGCAGCGTTGGCGCAAGCTCACACCACCATAGGATATCGCTGTCCGCAGGAATTGGAGATGCGATTAGGGACGAGATTCGCGCCGGGATGCAAAGCATTTTACGACAGAGGAGCAAGTCGAAGAAGTGTTGACAGTGTCCATGACACATTATAGGGAAGAAAAGGATGTTGTGAATTGTTGTTGTCCCCTCACAACTATCCCGGGGACCTCCGTATGGTAGATTAGATTATCCCCAAATGATTTAAAACTCACCTTTATTTTTGATTAACTGAATTGCATAATTTTTTTATATAGGTTATGTGAAAGGCTTAAAGTCAAACAAAAAACTGCGAAAAATAAAAAAATTTAAACACGTAGAAAATTCAATAAAGTTTTGTTTAAATTAAATTAATTTGAATAATTATATATTTAAAAAATAATGAATATGAAATGTTTGCTTTAAGATACTGTTATTAAATATGCATAAGGCGATTTAAAATGACGGCTTAAGTTTTGTGAATGGAGGGGAGGGGACCAAAAATGATTTTAGGATGAAAGGTGATCTCTGACATAAAAGGGGTGGGACATTAAATAAATGATTTCGACCCACAGGAAGGGCGCGAGCGCTACGGCAATAACAGCCAGGCTACCGTGGGACGTCGAAATTAACATTTTATTTGATTGTGTTTTGAATAATGATTGCCACTGTCCGTTAAATCAGCTGTTTCGTAGCGATGTGTAGATTTGTGTAGTGTTGTGCTATTGTCGGCGGGCATGGGTAGACCCACCCCCAATGGAGTACTGGCTGGCCGGAGCTGCACCGATAAGACAAGCCGACGCGTAATAAACGAAATCGTCAACAGTAAAACCTACAAACGTTCTTTATGTACCATAATTACAATGCAACTTTATTTATGGTGAGCAGAGCAGTAAAAGGAGGCTGAACTGTAACATTCAAGAAAAGTAGTGCGTGCGTATGTGACATAAAAGGTAAAACTCTGATTATTGCAAATCTTAGAAGCAATTTATTTCTGTGTGAAATAACCAAAACAATAAATGCAGTGTTCAGTGGAAATCGCAAAGAGGCAGCAGCAGAGGTTGCAGCAGAGGCTGCAGCAGAGGCTGCAGCAGAGGCAGCAGCAGAGGCAGCAGCAGAGGCAGCAGCAGAGGCAGCAGCAGAGGCAGCAGCAGAGGCAGCAGCAGAGGCAGCAGCAGAGGCAGCAGCAGAGGCAGCAGCAGAGGCAGCAGCAGAGGCAGCAGCAGAGGCAGCAGCAGAGGCAGCAGCAGAGGCAGCAGCAGAGGCAGCAGTAGAGGCAGCAGTAGAGGCAGCAAGAAAGGCAGAAGTAGAGGCTGAAGCAGAGGCTGAAGCAGAGGCAGCAGCAGAGGCAGCAGCAGAGGCAGCAGCAAAGGCAGCGGCAGAGGCAGCAGCAAAGGCAGCGGCAAAGGCAGCGGCAGAGGCATCGGCGAAGATAACGGTAACACCGATACCAACAAATCGTGTGACAAAAGTAAAACGAATGGTGGCAAGGATCACCAAACCAACAAAAGAAATATCAGCAAGAAAAGTAACCGGCTTGAAAGAACCAGTGACCAAGGATGGCGAAGACCAGACAACAAGTGACACAAGCTGAATCTTCTGAACCGTGATGATGCCATAACACCAGAAACTGTGGAAGAAGCATTGAAAAGTCCACAGGCGATTGAATGGCATAAGGCCATGGCCCAGGAATTCGGAGCACTGAAAGTGAATAAACTTGGGAACCAGCCGAATTACCATCCAATCATAAGGCGATTGGATGCAGAGGGCTCGTGGCAAAGGGCTGCAGCGAGCAACAGAGAGTGAACTAATTAATTGTCAATAATGTGAATTGAGGGGGAGTTTTGAAAATATGTAAAAGATCAATACAACATTCCGATTACTAAAGTTAATAACAGGGATATCGATACTGCCGCCGATACTCCAACTTTAAGAATAGATTGAATAAAACTTCTTTGTCTTACCGCCAAACCAAGTGCATCACTTTTGCTTGGATGTGCCGTCGACGATAGGCTCATGAACGGTATAGCTGAGTTTGAGTTAGTAGAATTGCTAATTCGAAATGCTAATTTTCATCATGAATTACTTCACTTGAACATCCGTAATAGATCACAGCTCAGGAGAGAAATCCGCCGACATTAACAATTTTACGACATAAAATCGATGAAGCCAAGAACACTACGTTCATATGTCACTGAATTGTCTGATCGACGAAAGTCAAAAACTACCCGAAGAAAACTCAGAACAGGACGAAATTTCGCAGATTCAACGCCGCTCCATTCAAACACTTTCAATTTGCTGGAATTGTGACAAAGCAGGGCACAACTTCGATGATTGTGTAGGGCCACGTAAAATATTTTGCTGCGGATGTGGTGC